GTGCTTACAGTTGTGGATTAAATGTGTTTCAGGTACCTCGGATGATCGCGAAAAGGCAAAAACATGACTGTAGACTCCAGCTTGCATATCTTCTTTTATGATATCCACAATTTGATACACTGATTTGGGATGATTGTATTGATACCCTTGGGATTTTTATAACTTGATTTTTATAATATTGGTGTTTTCCTTGGTTAAAAATGAAAATTTTGGCGTTAAAAACCAGTCAGTTAAAATAACATGCATCATGTATTATAAGTTTGGTTGGTTGTGAGTGTTTAAAATAAGAAGTAAGCCCTAATTTAGGGTTATATGTCTGTTTGGTGTGTGTTTGGTCTATGTGAACCTAAGAATATGTTCATACATACCCTAATAATTATGTAAAATATGAATAAAGTTGTATACATGACATGACAGTCCAAGAAGATTTCTAAAAGTGAAAGTATAAATAAAGTACAATACACATATTATCATGAAATAATCTAAGTAGATTTATTGGTATGGGATGTAGGTGTTCAAAAAAGGGGAAGTACATCTAAATCATATATATATATAGTTGTTAAGATTCTTATTGCTCAATTCAGGTGAAACTTCTCACTTTACTATATATGACACTAGGTGTCATGGTATTATTGTTTGTCTTTGTGACTTGCATGAAAAACTATGGTTGGAGCATAGCAATTGTATGAAAGACTATGGTTGGACCATATCAATTATATGAAAACTATAGGTAGACCATAGAAATTGTATGAAAGACTATCAAGAACCACAGAAAGAAACACTGTAGGGGGACTATACCAACGGAAGTTATCATAAGACTATGCTTGACTCGTAGCATTCACATATCCTAATTTGAGAAACTCACTAAGCTTTGTGCTTACTATTTAAGTTTTAATTGTTTCAGGTTGTTCCGATGTCATGGGAAAGATTGCGGCTTGATTACATTGCATGCATTAGAGACTTCCACATTTTATGATTTATTATGTTTTCAAAACTCTTATATTTGGCTTTTGACATTATCATATTCAAACATTGGTTACTTACCTATTTTGGAATGAAATGAAATTTTACTTTGAAAATTTGGAACATTGTATTAGGAACTGTCCACGTTTTTTTTTTTTTTTTTTTTTTTTTTACTTTTTGAAAGTTGAGTGTGCCACTTGGTTAGTTTGAGCAAAATATCTTTTATACTTAAGTAACATAATTAGGATAAAGACAAAAAATAAAAGGTTTGTCAATCCAACAGTAATATTAGATTTTCAAACCTATAACAAAAACTTTATATGCATATGAATAAACTATTGAAATCGTCCTTATTGTTTACCAAAAATTAACATTCGGTCTCTATTTTTTCTTTTGCACTCGGACCATCCCTAGGTTTTGATTTTGTTACGGTGCAAGTCCCTGGCCGACATAAATTGACTACTTTGCCCTTAATGCTATTTTTATAATATCATTTAGTTATTTTCTATTAATTAATGTATTATTATATAAAGTAAAAGCCCTACCCCACACCCCAATTAAATGACGTCTCGTTCTCTCTCATGTTCTTATGTCTCATGTTCTTATCTCCTTTTACTTATCTACCCAAACGAAGATCACCAACAAGGGGCGATGGTGTAGCATGAAAGTAAAAGCATCGTCGTAGAAGATATTATGTGGGGAAATCAGAATATGAACCAAATCAAGCATCATCGGTTTGTGACTCAGTTCCAATCTACACCATCTGATATGTGCTTCATCCATGAAGAACATTGGTGAGGAACTAGACCACCGACAATATCAATTTGCAAGTGAAACAATGGGCCACAAACCAATGAAGCACATATCCATTGGCAAAACAAGATCAATTTTCAAGTGAAACACGAGGCCACCAATCCACCATTGTAACCCACCAAGCTCGATTTGTGATGGAAGTAACCGGATAAAGAGGGTGTGGAGGAGATCAGGTCGGGAAAATAATGTTGTTGAGGAGATCAGGACTAATTTGGCAGTTGAGAGGTTTTTTAGGTATGCATTCATAGGTTCAACATTCAACGATGTAGGCCAAAGATCGGGTGGGTGGTGGTGGTACAAGAGGTTCCATTACTCTTTCTCTTTTCTGTTTTGCTTCCTTATACTCGGATCTACATTTGCAATCTGGATTTTTCAAAAGTTGGCATTTTGTCTATCTAATGATGTTTTGCTTTGTTTTACATAGCTACTAGGTGGTTGAGATCCCGATTAGATGACTATAGAAAAGATTTGGGCAGAAGCTCGCCTGGTCGCACGTCGGAGAAATGACAGTGGTCATCGGAAATATGAAGCAGGAGCATGGATAAGGTTAAATAGGGAGTGGTGGGAGTGGGAGATAGAGTTCAAGTGGGTTCTATCTTTCAATAAATCAAATAATTAATTTAAATTAAAATAAAATAAATAATAAAAAAGAAAATATTAAGGACATTATTGTTTATTGCTTATTCTCACCACAATAAGTTAAGTTGAAGTGTTTTGATAGGAAACTTAAAAAATTAGTTTATTGTGGTAGAAATAAATTAAATAAGTTGGTTTTAATAAGTAATGGGAGAAATGTTTATTGCTTATTGTGGTTGAAATAAGTTAATAAGCTAATCCAAATATTTTCTAAAAAACTATTTATTCCCAGCACAATAAACTAATAAGCAATAATCTAATAAACTAAAAATATATTTATTCAAACACCCTCTAAACAAGAACTTCCACCATAACAAAATCAAAACTTAAGTATGATTCGACTGAAAAAAAATAAAAAAATAACACCCAAATATAAAACTTTAACAAACCATTGAACTGATTTTAGTTTTTGTTCGATACATATCTTTAAAATAGACAAAAACTGAAATTTCCTTAAACACTTTAACATTACTAAAAAGAACATGTCTCTATTCTAATAAATGAATTGTTTTAATATTTTTTTATCACGTGTCATTCTAATATAATTTTTTATTAATATTATATTATGTGTCATATAGATATATTAAACAACTCATTTCTAAATTTAAATTTTTATTTTTTTAAGACAAAATTACAAAAATGGTCCCTGTGGTTTGTCAAAAGTCACAAAGTCAGTCCCTGCTAATTTTTTTTTGATGTAAATGATCCTTGTGGTTTGTAAAACTTGCAAAGATGGCCCTTTTTACTAACACCGTTAATGTTTAGCCGTTAAGGACTGAATCTGAAAGGGCATTTTTATCTTTTCAAATATAAAGGGGCTGAATTCGTGACATTTTAAAAACCACAGGGACCATTTTTGAAGTTTGTTTGGAAAAATAAATTAATTAGCTAAAGAAGTTGAGAAGAATCGAACACACAACCTCCCCTTTGCATTCCCAAACATTAACCACTAGAGCTAAATGCTCACATGGTTATATTCTCCTAAAACCGGTATATAATATAACGAAAACGTTAATACATAAATAAAAAATAAATAAAACAAAACATTTTTTATACATAATTTTTTTCAAATAAAACAAAAATGTATTTTAGTCGTATTATAAAAAAAATAGTTTCTTACAAACAATTTGTATGTATTTTTATGTATTTATTATACGTAAAAAATATTTTTTTATGTATTTAAAAAATACGTTTTCATATAAAACATATGTTTTCGTACACGTTTTTTTATGTCAAGAGTAATATTGATTATCGTTATTTCAAAAAGATATATCACTATTTCTTTTCATCTTCATTTTAACCATACGATTTAGAACTTACGATTAAAATGAAATACGTATTTTAAATAAGATATATAATCGAATAGTTTTTTTTTTATATTTTTTTAAATACATATAACCCCAAAGCGGTTTTTAAAAAACCGATTTTCGATTAAATGTATTCAAAAAAGATGAAATACGTATTTTAAATAAGATGAAATATGTATGGTTAAAATGAAGATGAAAAGAAATAGTGATATATCTTTTTAAAATAACGATAATCAATACTACTCTTGACATAAAAAAACCGTGTACGAAAACATATGTTTTATACGAAAACATATTTTTAAACACATAAACAAAATATTTTTTACGTAAAATAAATACATAAAATACATACAAAAAATCTTTTTTTATTTGTTTTTTATTTATGTATTAATGTTTTCGTTATATTATATAACGGTTTTAGGAGATTACAACCATGTGAGCATTTAACTTTAGTGGTTAATGCTTGGGAATGTAAAGGGGAGGTTGCGTGTTCAATTCTTTCCAACTTCTTTTACCCAATTAATTTATTTTTCCAAACAAACTTCAAAAATGGTCCCTGTGGTTTTTAAAATGTCACGAATTCAGCCCCTTTATACTTGAAAAGATGAAAATGCCCTTTCAGATTCAGTCTCTAACGGCTGAATACTAACGGTGTTAGTAAAAAGGACCATCTTTGCAAGTTTTACAAACCCCAAGGATCATTTACATCAAAAAAAATTAGCAGGGACTGATTTTGTGACTTTTGACAAACCACAGGGACCATTTTTGTAATTTTGTCTTTTTTTAATTATATGTTAAATTTAAATTTATAATAATCTTAAATTTTTGATATCTTACTTAATTAATAATTTATTTAAAATAATTGATTAATATTTATAATTTTTTATTATAAAATTTTAATTAATTTTAACCACACATTATAAACTAATTTCTTATAAACAACAAAAACTTACAATTTGGGAAAAACACGATACGTAGACATTTTCTTTATTAAAATTCCAACCGTAGAAGATAAGCATTCAAAAATATTAGATGTTTGAATGGTACAAGTAATCCAAGAACAACCAAACGTTTAGAAATTGTTTACCTAACATAAAAAACAATCTATTTCTAACAAACATTCCAAATCTTTCATTGATTGATTAGTAAAAGATACAACCATATCATCAAGCTACCATATTCTAATAGCAAACAAAATGTTTGCATTGTAACAATTATCATCAAATCCAAAAACATCCCAAAATCCAGAACATTCCCAACCCAACAATGAAATGTTATGAATCAAGCCCTCTCACCACGGATCCTTCGAGCAAGCTGCATGTCTTTGGGCATAATTGTGACCGTTTTAGCATGAATAGCACAAAGATTTGTATCCTCGAAAAGGCCAACCAAATAGGCTTCCGACGCCTCCTGAAGGGCGGCGACGGCGCTGCTTTGGAACCTCAGATCGGTCTTGAAATCCTGAGCGATTTCTCGAACTAACCTCTGGAAAGGGAGTTTCCTGATTAAAAGCTCGGTACTCTTCTGGTACTTTCTGATCTCACGGAGAGCCACGGTACCAGGACGGAATCTGTGGGGCTTCTTCACTCCGCCAGTTGCCGGCGCCGTGGCCAGTTGCTTCCTTGGTGCTTTTCCTCCGGTTGATTTGCGGGCAGTTTGCTTTGTACGAGCCATTGCTGATAAGTTTTAGAGAAAGCAGTTACAGAGTGTGCTTGAACTTGAGAACTGTAATCAACATTCTGGATCGGAGAGGGGTATATATTTGTGTGTGCGTGCGGGGATTTTGAAATATTGGAACTTCAAACCGATTTTAGTCCGTTAATATTCATGTAAAAATTAACGGTGGAGATTAGATGATGAACTGAGGCAAGTAGCGATCCGTGTGCTAATAATCATAGCGAATAAGAAGATACCACGTGTACATATAACATATTTTAAGTATTTTTATAGTTTTCCAAATAAACCCCTTCAAAGTTTTGAATGCCTGGGCAAAAAGCATGCATATGAATAAACAACCTATTGTACAGCATCCATACTAATCGAATTTAAGTATTCTTTTTTTTTGTTTCGTTACATTAACTTTTTATTAATTTTATCAAATAAAAAAATAAAAAAATATTAACTTAGGTATTGTCTTGTTTTTTTTAATATGTAAGGAAAGATATAGACAAAAAAAAACAGAAGCCCATGAAAGTGTTTGTTGACAATGTACTAGGTTGTAAGACAGTTTGATTCAAATATATCTTCAAGAAGAAGACTGATATTGATGGAAAGGTACACACTTTTAAAGTTCGACTGGTTGCGAAGGGTTTTACTCAAACCCCAGGGGTTGATTATGATGAGACATTCCCACCAATAGCTAAGATTAAATCTATTAGGGTGATGTTAGCCATAGTTGCGTTTGATGAGTATGAAATCTGACAGATGGATATCAAAAAAATGTTTTTTGTTAATGGGAAGTTGACTGAAGATGTTTACATGAGTCCGCTAAATGGTTTTGTGGATGCAAAGTACCCAAATAGAGTGTGCAGGCTTGAGAAATCAATCTATTGGATTGAAACAAGCTTCTCGCGGATGAAATTTTTGCTTTAACGAGAAATTCAAAGAGTTTGGCTTCTGTCAAACCCCCGAACCAGAACGGCGGAAATATCCGAGGGTGGATGATATCTCCAAATAGGAACTCAATAGAGTTAGATAGTGGATTTTACCTGAAGCAGAGTCATACATCTCGACTCTCCCATCCAGGGTCGGTCCAAACCGATTTGGGGCGCGGGGCAATGACAAAAAAATAAGGCCCTTTAAATTTAGAAAATTAGTGTTTTTTTAACATCAAGAGATATTTTTACATAAACCTAGAAAATACAATGACAATAAAATAAGAATGTTCTCCTGACATTGTAAGTAAAATGTTTGAGAAAAATGTTTAAGAAAGCATAAAAACTCTTCAGATGTCAATAAACTTTAGGATCCAAAATTTGATCATCAAGGTATAAAAACAATTTAAGCAACAATAGCCCCTATTGCACCTGTGCATAACCAAAACACATTAGCCAGTCATACACTTATCAGTTATGTAATTTATGGTGCTTTGAGCGTCATGAATAAGAAACAAGGTGAGATAGAAAACAGTTCTTAAACTTCCATCACTACTAGGATCCAAAATTTGAGCCATGACTAAAATATATATCAGGAACCAGGTGTTACAATAATGAAAAGATATCTCACAATCCTATATTAACTAGTTTACGTATTGTTTTGTATCGTTGTTCTCATGTTTGAAATTATTTGTATACTGTGTAGAGTATAAATATTTATACACAAAATAATTATTTAGTATAATACTCTTGTTATCTGTATGTAAAAATGGATAAACTAAATCTATCATAGTCTATATATTTGACCGTGTACGTGGTTTGAATTTGTAAAACTGGTAATAAATTCCCCAAACTATACCTATTATAGTTTGACTGATATGTTATGTTCATGTAATGTTCAGAAAACTATGCAAATATGCTTTGAAAACATCCCTTATGCTCCACATAATACAAAAAGGGAACAAATGTATATATGTTGTATAAAAACACGTTAGATCGTATCAATTGCATGAGTTTTAACTTGTTGAAAACATTTTTGTTTTAGGTCACAAAAATCCTTTTGTGTTTGTCTTGTATTCCCACCCTGCAAACATTTAAAAAACCTTAAAAGTGTAGGGGTATGAACTCACTGTTTGTCGTAGGATTTGAGTGTACGATCGGTATGGATGTCGAGTGTCAACTGATGTTTCGTACGCAAGTGGATCCTATTAACATATTGTTGGATTAGTGTCTAAGTCCATAACTATTTTGGTATGTACTTGACCCGATGGTGTATGGTCCTTTTGGGTTGCCTTCACCAAAGCAACTTGATTGGAGAAATAAATAAAGAGAGGGAGGTTATTATGATTTATTAATATGTTATAAGAATAGTATATTAAAGGAGAAATCATATTTGCTTAATTAATATTGGTCAATAATTAATTAGGAATTAATTTTGTGATCAAGTGTAATTAATTAAACTAGAGGGGCTGAATTGTAATTATGTGATAGTTACAAAATATGGTAATGGTTATCCTAAATATGGGTTGAACGAATTCAAGGAGATAAGGATCCTTGAAATCGTCCAAAGGATAAAGGATAAGGGTTTTCAAGGCTTATCTTATGGTTGCTTTGTGGATAAGCAACTAGATAAGGATAATGACTGAAACCCTATCTCTACACCTATATAAAGACCCTAAGGCCTTAGAATTCGTGTACTTGTTCCCAAGGAGTCCTAAGGACGAATTCTAACCTCTCTCCTCTCTCTTTATACCTTCTCCATTTGCTCTTGGTGTTTGTAAGCCATTAGAGGAGTGACACTTGTGACTCTAAGCATTCCAAAGTCAATTCAAGGTGGAATTAGGATTGTTATTGCTATATAACAATCAAGGTATGTTCTTAAACCCATTCATATGTTAATATCGATTTCATATACTAGAATTAGGGTTTATAGTCTTGGATTCAAAGCATGTACAATAGAGAAACCTAGATCCAAGCATTAGGGTTTGTATGAGCACATAGGATGTCTTATGACCAAAACCCATCAGTGGTATCAGAGCCATTGGTTTGGTTTCAATTGTATGAACTTGATATATTAGGGTTTATTGCCAATAAACCCTAGGAGGCTAGGGTTTTTTGAGATTAGGGTTTGCAAACCCTAATTTGCAAGAGTTTGAATAAGATCTTCAAATCCTTTCCTTAAACCCTTAAATTTCGAAATCTAGGGTTTGTTATAATCCCTTGATTTTCGAAATTTGCCTCCTCCCCAAGATAAGATCCTAATTTTTAGGGATTTGGATTATCCCATATCTTGTAATTATCCTTTAATTGTTATATATGGTAATTCAAGATCTTGCATTATCCATCCATATTTTCGAAATCTATATAGATATTTAAGGGATTAGGATAACTTAAATGTATAAATGGTAATTATCCTCATTATTTAGATAATCCCTTATGATTTAATAATTAAATTAATAGTCTAATTCAAGATAATTATTAAATCAAGAGTTTTAATATTTAAAATTTTAATTTAAATGTCATAAATTCGAAATTTTAAGATAGATTAAAACTAAATTGTTTTGAAATGTTTCAAAACTTGCCCTCAAGTTTTGGAATTTAAAAGTTGATTAAAAGGTTTAATTAGGAGTGTTAAATTCTAAAACCCTAGTATTGTTTTGAAAAGTTCAAATCACACCCTTATGGTTTTATTAATTAATTAAGGTGTATAATTAAAAGAGATTTAATAAATCCATAAAAGTTTGGTTTGCAATTTAATTGAATTAAAAGTATAATTATTAAATTTGACACATAGTATTTTAAAAGTATGAAATGCACCCTATATTATATATATAACATTAAAAGTCTAACATTATATATATGTATGAGTAAAAGTCAGTCTTACCGTTAGTAGGCCTCATTCACGAAGCTGGTCTATAAGGGGTGTTTAAGGAAATTGCCTATAAAATGGCGATTGAATGGGTATCCACTCTTACCCACCGCACTCTTGACTAGTGGAGGGTCGTTAGCCGAACGGGTAGGATAGGACGAAACCTTCCATTATAAGTATAATGAAATACAAAGTAACTAAATGTTTTTCTAATTCCCAATCTTAGTTACTTAGGCAAAAGTGAATTGATGCAATTCCATGAAATTACACTTTGTGCCCTTGCGAAGACGTTAGTGGAGCGTGTGTGGTTTACCGGCACACTAAATGGTTCTAAGCAAAGGTAGCAAAGGGTGACTCAATGTTTGTCATAGTTCGGTGGAGCGTGTGTGGTTTACCGGCACATCGAATAGGTGATTGTAACATGTGAGGGCACCATGTAAGTTTGCATGGTTATTCACACCCGCTTTGTGATCCTCGGCATCCCAGTCACAAACAAGAGGGGCATATCGAGATTTAAACATGCCATTGAAAGTTCAATGAATCTCAAAGGATCTAGGAGTTTTCATAGATTTAAAACTTAAATTTTTTTTCGTTTTTCATGGTGGAAATTAGTGAATCGTCATTCACTTACCTTCAAATATTCTGCAACTAGATTACGCATCCCTTTCTAGGTTGTAGCGTATTGTGTTGGGTCCTAGCCTTAGTATTCATTTGGGTGATTTACTAAGGACTCAATCGATCAACTAACTTGAATTTGTTTTCTCCCGTTTTGTAGATGTCAAAGTTCGACAACTATGGTCTTCCCAAATCCCGTGGAACAAGCATTCCACATGAAGATGATATTCCACGATTCGATCGAGGAACAAGAAATCATGCTTCACTTCCTCCTCCTCCTCCAATTATTCTCCCTAACCCACAAGATAAAATTGAAAGGTTCAATATCACTCAAGCCCTTTTGGCAAGTAAACATAAAGAAGGAAAGTCGGTGTGTGCACACGTCTTAGGGATGAAGTCACACATTGATAGGTTAAGAATGATGGGATCCGTTGTCGGTGAAGAGATGGCTGTTGATTGGGTTCTTCAGTCACTTCCTAACTCGTATAGTGAGTTCGTAAGAGAGTACTATATGATGAACCACGACGTGACCCTTATTGATCTCACCTATATGCTTATTGCTGCTGAATCAGCAATGGTTTGGCGCAATAGAAAAG